TTTCCACCCGGAGTGCATGTTAAAAAAAAAAGGAATATCATTTACTGTTTGAAATCTGCTTGTCACAGGGTAGCCAGTCTCTAAAACAAATATCACTTTTTTATCAGACTTTTTATTTATTTATTTTTTACAAAACAGCACATTTTTGTCCCAGAAAATTTATATTTAATGATAAAAAAGTTGTTGCATTGTTGCATCTCACTAATATGTCTATTTATTATCAGTAATAATAATAAATGTGGTGGGTTTATGCTTCTTCTATAGAATCTATTTGCTTTAGCGACAGATGAGGAACCCGAAGTGAGGAAAAATGTTTGCCGAGCCCTTGTCATGCTGTTGGAGGTTCGCCTGGATCGTCTTCTGCCACACATGCACAACATCATCGAGGTGAGGTCGTCTGGCAATGTACAGTCTGAGAGTGAATCCTATAAAAGAATTACCAGTGTTCTAAAGAAATCATGAAATGATTTTAAAATAAAGTGTTGTTTTATACCTCCAAGTCACAAATATAAAAAAAAAATTCATAAAGAGCCACAACATTGCAAAACCTTCAGCAGTATTTTGAATCTGTTCCAAATATAAAATTTAACAGATATAAATATTTCATGATACAGAATTTATCAATATGACCAACACAGCTGTGGCAACCAGCTGGAGATCACATTGCATATTTTAGAGGATCAGATATGTACAGAAGACAATATTTTCTTAGACAACTATCTCAGTACACTACTGAAACACAAAGCTGAAATGCAGAAGTGAGCCAAGGGTATTAAGCTGCAAATCTGCACAAGTTGAGTATTCTAAAAAGCAGAAAGCTTGAGTTGCTTTTACATGGTCCATTCTCAGCACGTGTCGCTTTGTCCTGATTTGACTTGACCTGTGAGTGTGCGGTCTCAGATGTTTTACGAGTGGTGAGTCAAGTGTTGCCTTGAAGTAGGCTGGTTGAGTGTTTCTCTTGATGTAGACAGGTCAAGTGTGGCCTCCTTGTAGGTGGGTCGAGTGTTGCTTCGATGTAGGCGAGTCGAGAGTTGCTTCGATGGAGGCGGGTCGAGAGTTGCTTCGATGTAGGCGAGTCGAGAGTTGCTTCGATGGAGGCGGGTCGAGAGTTGCTTCGATGTAGAAAGGTCAAGTGTGGCCTCCTTGTAGGTGGGTCGAGTGTTACCTCGATGTAGGCGAGTCGAGAGTTGCTTCAATGTAGGCGGGTCGAGAGTTGCTTCGATGTAGACTGGTCGAGTGTTACCTCAATGTTTGCGAGTCGAGAGTTGCTTCGATGTAGGCAGGTCGAGTGGTGCCTGGATGTAGGCGGGTCGAGTGTTGCCTGGATATAGGCGAGCCGAGTGTTTTCTGGATGTAGACGGGTCGAGTGTTGCCTGGATGTAGGCGGGTCGAGAGTTGCCTCGATGTAGGCGGGTCGAGAGTTGCTTCGATGTAGGCGGGTTGAGAGTTGCTTCAAGGTAGGCGGGTCGAGAGGTGCCTCGATGTAGGCGGGTCGAGAGTTGCCTGGATGTAGGCGGGTCGAGCGTGGCCTGGATGTAGGCGGGTCGAGAGTTGCTTGGATGTAGGCGGGCCGAGTGTTGTCTGGATGTAGGCGGGCCGAGTGTTGCCTCGATGTAGGCGGGTCGAGAGTTGCCTCGATGTAGGCTGGTCGAGAGTTGCTTCAAGGTAGGCGGGTCGAGAGGTGCCTCGATGTAGGCGGGTCGAGAGTTGCCTGGATGTAGGCGGGTCGAGCGTTGCCTCGATGTAGGCGGGTCGAGAGTTGCCTGGATGTAGGTGGGTCGAGCGTGGCCTGGATGTAGGCGGGTCGAGAGTTGCCTGGATGTAGGCGGGTCGAGCGTGGCCTGGATGTAGGCAGGTCGAGAGTTGCCTGGATGTAGGTGGGTCGAGCGTGGCCTGGATGTAGGCGGGTCTAGCGTGGCCTGGATGTAGGCGGGTCGAGCGTGGCCTGGATGTAGGCGGGTCGAGCGTGGCCTGGATGTAGGCGGGTCGAGCGTGGCCTGGATGTAGGC